GAGGTGGTGTAAATTCATCAGGGAACATGATGGACAAACCAATTCCTTGCCTTCATTACTCTTACTTTCTCATTGCAGAAACAATAATATAAATAAGTGAAATACATAGTATGATAGTAATTACTGTTGAGAAAAGTAGAGGGAAGGAAATAAGAAGCTTTGGAGAGGAGGGTGAAGATTTTTAGACAGGATGATTATGCAAGTCCTCCCTAGAAAAGGGACCATTTGAGTTACATCCCAAAGGAAGTGAGGGGATCTAGGGGAGAGCATTGGCAGCACAGGAATGGCAAATGCAAAGGCCCTGAGGTCAGAGTATGCTTGGCAAGTTTGAGCCCAGTGTGGCTGAAGCAAAATAAACAAGTGGGACCGCAAGAAAGAAATGTGGTCAAACAGATAACCAGGGGTTAGATCGTAGCCCTAGTAGGTGGTATCGGGCAGAGGCTTTCCTATAAGAGAAGACCACAGAGGGTCTGGGCAGAGGAGTGGTATTTTAACACCATCATTATGGGTGTTGAGTTGAAAACAACTGAAAGGGGGAAGACTAAAAGAGGGAGATCACTTTAGGAGGCTTCTGTCCTTTCCTTCTCTACTCGTCAAAACCGTCATCACCTCTCACTTTGGCTCTGTCCATAGCTCTCTTCCTGGGCCCCTTCCTCCCATTTCACTCCTTTCCCTCTGTAATCTGCCTAAAAGACGGCTCCCAACATCCGCTCAGACCTCCACACTGCCCATTAGGGGTGACTTCAGTTTCAGGCTAGAACACAAGCTCTCCACACACAACATGGCCCTACCTCGCCTCATCCCCCAGACCTCGGCCATGCAAACCCATTGCCCCAACCTCAACGCACGTGTTCAGCACTTTCAAATGCATCTGCACAGTCTGACCCCGCCTTTGCTCTCTCTGGTGCAAGTACTTCCACCAGCCTCCCCTCCACCTGCTGAAATTCTCCGTCTCCGCAGGCTCATCGCAAATCCCACCTCCCCCCTGTAACCTTTCCTATCCCTCAACCACATGTTCCCTCACCTGCCTCTGGACCTCATCCCAGTGTGCCTAGCCTCCTTCATGGTCTTTATATATTTCCATCTGTCCTTGTCCTGTCTCCCTCAGTGGCCTGCAAGCGCTCAGAGAGCAAACCCTGGCTCACTCGTCTTCACATCTGCTGCAGCACAGAGGACAGCACCTTCTATAGAGTGAAGAGTTGCTTAATTAAATAATGACATAATCCTTTAGTGATCAAAATTCTGTAATTTTCAATGGTTTCTTTAAATCTGTTCATCACCTCAGAGTAGCTCTCTCAGTTAGTATTGTAAACACATTCCGCTCTAACACAGACTAAGTTTGGCAGAGAAAAATAGTTCTATTTTATGCTCCTTTATAATGCTAAGCAATTAAGCTAAAAAATATTAAAAGTAGTCACAAAGATAAAATCATTCTTATGATTAACTGCCACCAAAAGTTTTCCATTTAGGAAGATAAACAGTTAAATTTGGAAGACGAAAATGCTGAATTTCGAAACGCTGGAAAATTGATCCACTTAAATATTTTAAGTACTTTCACTGGTAAGATTTTGATGCAGTCAATGCTAATCTCCTATGGAAAGGTGATGCAGACACACTAAAAATTCTACTTTCTCCTTTGCGGTGTTTTAAAACAATCTTATTCCTGCATAATTTATAATAAGAATCAAGAAACACTGAGTCAGATTTTCCCAATGTCTATCGTTACAATGTGGGGGTGGGGTGGGAAGTATAGTACTTTTCTTCTAATATTCTCTGCGGTAGAACTTTCCATAAGGGCACCATTCAGTATGGCCCAAATCATTTTCTTTTTAAGGAAGTATTAACTTAGCTATCTTTCCACCTCCTCCCTGAAGAAGGTACGATTTGTATTCAAATTTCATATACTGGGTGGGACAAAGGTAGGTTTACAGCTGTTCACATGAAAAATAACACAATAAGTAATACAAGAATAAACACTGTGTTTCCCATATTCAGTATGGGAAACATACTTTTGCCCCACCCTGTATAAAATAAAGACCTGAAGAAGTCCTGCTCCAGGAAACAGACAAGAGAAAAGGGGATCTATGAATCAAGCTCGAAAGGAAATTTTAGTAACCATTACTTAATTCAAGATCTTAATAATGAATCTCAGCTTTGTAACTCGAATTATGTCCACAATGAAATGATTCCCCAAAATTTGATTTGTTATTTTGAAAATCAGTTTAAATATTAGACTATAGGTCTGATTTCATTTTCTATAGGTGATAGGTATTAGATATTTTAAAGGAAGTCAATATGTGCAAGATAAATATGAATTAACTTTATATATTCTAACTGAACATTATTTCAATACTGTCAGCATCATTTGAATCATTTTTAGTAGAACATTCTCACTTTATCATCCCATTAAAATAGGATTCCTTTTTAACAGGAAAAAGTGTGTCTTGAAGTTCCAGTCTAGATACAATTAGAGAATCCAGGACAAGTAGAAATAATGACTGAACCAGCCCTATGTCTGAGTCAGGAGGTTTGGCCGCAGAAGTGACATCAGTCATCATCATGAAGGCAGAGACAGGGTGAGAAAATTGAGAATTCATCAGAGATACAAGAAAATCAGACCGGAAACAGATCTTATAAACCAACTACCCATCGCCGTTAAAGGCTTCCTCTTTACTCTTTCTTTTAAAAGAAAATATCCTGAACCATGAAACTGAGCATTGAAAAGATGGTGGGAAGCAACTCAAGCAGTACAAGACACCCCATCAAACAGCACATGGATTCAATTTTGAAAAATAATTTTAAAATTTTGTGACAACTTTTATCATTTTTGAACCTGCCTGCCTAAGTGCATGTCCCCCCAGAAGCAGGTCCTGAGACAAGGACTCAAGTCCAAGTGGTTCATTAGGGAGAGTCAGGAAACGCTGAACAGGGAATGTGGACATGGTGCTCGGGCAAAGAGGGCGGCCCACAAGGACGCAGAAATACACAGAATTGTCTCCCCCAGAGCTGGGTGTTTATCAGTTATAGTTAAGATAATTGATTTGGTGGGGGGAGGCCAGGGTAATAATTCCTTGGCACTTGAACCTGCCTCAAGCAGGAACCCCGCAGTTTCCCAGCCTACAAAGAAAACCTCCAGGCAAACAATGCAGGCACTGGCAGGTGGCAGGCCTCCATGGAGACAGGAAGGTCTACACTGCATCCCCCAGAAGAACGCTGTTCCCACCAACAGTCGTTTCCCTGTCGTATTTGGTATCAATCTTTTCTCTCTCTTTTCTCTACTATCCAATACAGCATATATTTCACATTCAGGCCATCTATTCCTAAGCTATAGAACATATCATTTTAGCTTACCGATACCTTTATTTCTCCCCTTGAGTCTACTTTATACTCTCCATAAGATTCTAAGTCTATTCCTCTACTGTAAATTCTTTAACATCAACCTTGATCTCAACTAAATTATAAAAAAATCACTCTTTTTATAGCAGCCATAATGGTCCATCTTAACAACCATGAAAAATGATGGGCTGGTCCATGGGGTTAAAGCTCAGGCCACAGTGGACCCAGAGAATTCTTTATGTTAAGACAGTAGAAGTCATTTTGGCAGTTCCAAAACACACATTTTCATAAAATGATGAGAGGGGTGGGGAGACCAATATAAAACTTAACAGGAAAGAAGCACTTCCAATGAAATGTCACTTCGCTTGTTTCAAACAAAGACAGTCATTAAAAATAGTCGGATCTAAAGGTTATTGTTCTTAAGCAGCAGGGATCGTTCTATAAATTGTTAGTAACTTCTAGGCCAGGCAGGTGCCTCTTTTGCGTTCCCGTGTATGCAAAGCGAGATGACAATGTGCCTACATAAATTCTACCTAAAACAGTAAGCACCTGACAAACATTATGCTCATAATTTCATAAAAGTCATTTCAGGAAATTCAGGAAATAGCAGAAAGTAATGGGAGTGTGGCATTGGAGGTTTCTTGGACTAAAGGAATTTATTGCCACTCCACAGATATATTGAATGCTGGACAAAGATGGGCAGGTTGGGAATCAGCTAAATTGTCTAGGTTTGAGATTGCCTAACCTAGCTTTAATGAGTTCATTATTTTTAAGAGAAATAAAAACGAAAAAGCAGTCCAGCTGGGCGTGGCTCGGTGGTTGAGCATCGACCTAGGATTCAGGAGATAGGGGTTCGATTCCCGGTCAGGGCACATGCCCTGGGTTGCTGACTCGATCCCCAGTCAGGGGCGTGCAGGAGGCAGCTGATCAATGACTCTCTCATCATTGATGTTTCTCTCTCTCTCTCCCTCTCCCTCTCTCTGAAATCAATAAAGATATTTAAATTTTAAAAAATGAAAAAACAGACCAGTACACATCACTGAGACTTTCTGGACATTTTTACACTGGGTTGGGAGGCCCATCCCCTGGCTGCCCTTCTCTGTGTCCACTTACAAGCATTTGGCAGAGCCACTGTTGAATGAGATCCCTGTCTAATGCTACGTTTTATATTTGTAGAAGGATCAGGCCATTCAACCAAACCCACCATCCTCCTGAAACAAACCAACCACTATATAATGCAATAAGTATTTTTTAAAAGCAGACATTTCTAAATATAGTAAATGATATATATATAAATGTATCTTTGGATCTAAATCAGTACTTCTCAAACTACCTGTGAGGAATAGTCATTTTATTATTATTATTTCCAGCCTATCATTTACTGATACTTTTGCAAAATCCATTAAAAATGAATCATTCAAAAATAATTTTTTTTAATCATACAAAATATAAGCCCAATTTTTTTATTATTATTTCTATTAGATTCAACAGGCATAAAATGACTCTGTCAAATTTCTTTAAAAGTTTCATAATACTTACTCTCAATTTAAGCCCTGATCTCATCTCAGACCAGTAACAGCTGCGGGCAGCACTGGCCTGGGGCCACAGTCCGAGTCACACTAACCTGAAGTACTGTACATATTTATTCAAAAGACATACTTTACCTCTGATATCCTTTCCAAATCCCATAGAAGAAACTTTTTTGTCCACTTGCTCATTACTGTTTGGTTTCTCCTTCATGACGTCATCGTCGCTAACAGCATCAACAGAAAATTTTTTTTTCTTTTTCTTTTTTTTGTGTCGAGGCGGAAGCTTTTTTGGAAAAGTAAACATTGGGAATATCACAAGCAACATTGCAATGGCACAAAGGAGGAATCCGCTCCACCTAAAAAATTGGGAAATGTGAATCGCACTTATGGCTTTTGCATTGTGAGTGAGAACAAATTAGCAAAGTAGAAGTTTGTGATGATAAAATTCTCCAGAAAAAACACTTTTGACTCTCATCAATTGTAAAGCAGTAGAAAGTGGACAAACTAAGACAATATAGGAATCCTCCCTTTCTGGGGTATACATGAGAAATTTACTCAATAATTATACTCGTGTTATAATGAACATTATAATAAGCAACCTGAGAATTTCATTCAAGTATCGTTAAGCACATATGTGTTAGTCCTGCTACAATATGTATGTTATAATAAATCGATGTCATAAATTTAATAGAAAAATAATACTGACTCTATAGCATGTTTTGCGGACCAGTATAGACACCCATTTCTCAGAAGGAAACCATTAATATCTCCTGTAAAATATGTTTTAAATTGCTGATGGCACTCAAATATTTTTCTGCAAGCACTTAAGAATATATTGAATGCTCTTAACTGGCCCTCACTATACTTAGTCATGAGGGCCACCAAAGACATTTGGTTTGATCCTTACTTCAAGAATTATACCCTAGTTGCAAGTAAGCTAAAAATATATCTGCGAGAAATGCAAGAATGTTTACAATTAAGTGTTAGATCACATGGTATAGAGCATGAATGCTAAAGAAGTTCAGAGATAGGAAATGTGTGTCAGAAAGACTCTTAGGAGAAGTAAAGCTTGAGTGCTGTAGAACCGAGAATGTGTCTTTGGACTCATCTGTGGTTGGCACGCTGCAGAAACCAGAAAGCAAATACAGAGTAGAATTCAGCTTGGAGCCCTGCATTAGCTCTGTGTTTATGACCTCAGGCTTCTTCCCCAGGGGCAATTTCTCAGTCCCCTTTCAACTTTTTCTCAGCAAATAGCTCCTGGTCCTACCTAACAGAGCACCTCTTTCTAACTAGGATTCCTCAACTCCAAACTCTGCCCTTAAAGCTTCCAAGCTCACGAATGCTCAGACTCTGTTCTCTGTATTGACACCCCGTCAGTTGTAACCGGAATGCAAGCAGCATTCTAAGCATGAATGTTGGATTCAACCCACTGAGAGTATAGATCAATTGCAAAGTGAAAATTCATTTATAAAAGTAGTGTTTCAATCACAGTGCTGTTAGCTGCTAAAGGTCATAGTTTAGCTGAGACAGTCATTCCTAGAACCAGTCATTAATAATCCAGTGTGCTATTTTCAAACATATTTAAAGTTATACCAAGTAAAGATTTTAAAACAATCAGAAAGTGGCTTTACTTTGAGAAGATTGCTCAGCACAAACTTGTCCCAATCTCCATTATTCAGAATATAATCACGAACCCAGTGCCTGACACAGTTAGGAACTGAAAAAATGTCTTGAATAAATACATTGAATGAGATAGGTTTTAAAAAAATAAAGTCATCTATCTGTGGGGAACATAGCTACTATAACATCTGGCCCCTTTAGCACTTAGCTGCTTACGAGGCCTTTACTAACCTGGCCCGACTCATCAACCTTTCTTGAAACTCCTGCAAACTTGACATTCAGTCTCCCCAACCTAGTCCTCTCACGCTCTCTCCACAAGAGGGCAGTCAGCATAGTGTAAGGGACAGTTCTTGAGTTGTGGCTTCAGACAGACCTGGGGTGGTTTTTTACGGTTTGGGTTTTTTTTTTAAATATATGTCTTTATTGATTTTAGAGAGAGGAAGGGAGAGAGAGAGAGAGAGAGAAACATCAATGATGAGAGAGTCATTGATCGGCTGCCTCCTGCACGCCCACAACTGGAGACTGAGCCCACAACCCAGGCATATGCCCTGACCTGTAATCAAACCACAGTCTCCTGGATCACAGGTGGACACTCAACCGCTGAGCCACACCGGGCCGGGCCAGACCTGAGTTTTTATCCCATCTTTATCACTTACTAACTCTAAGATCCTAGGGGACTTATTTTGCTTTTCTGAACCCACTTTCTTATCTGAAAGAGAGGTAATAACAACTGTTTTGGAGTCATCAAAGTTAATACGACAATGCACAAAACAAACCTAATAAAATGCCTGCCCTATCAGCTATCAATTCACAGTAGCTGGTTTTGTTTGTTTTTATGTAGATCTGCACTGAGGCGCCCACACTCCCAGCCAGAGCCATTGACAAAGCTATATACAAACATTAAAGATATACTCATAGCAGCCCAAAGTGAGAGTAAATATAGAAGAAGGGGAAGAATTATAGTGAATAAACAATAATATAAATGTTTGGGGCCATTTCTAAGCAGAGCAAAGCAGCCCATATTATTCAACGGTCCACAGCAACAGATCATCATTAACACATGACGTAACGATGGTGCTCAAGAGAACTCTGAGAAAAGCTGAGTAAGATAAGAAAACGTGCATCATGTAAGAAAAAGAAACATGAATAAGAGCCGAAATTGAAAAGCAAGGCTTCCTAACTCCTTTTTATGAACCATTACTCAGAGACTGTTCACTAAAAGGGTCAGTGAAGTATATTGACTAAGACCTCCACCCTGACTCAGTTTATCCCAGCTCTCACCGCCTCTGAGGCTTTGGGGAGCTATTCAAATCGCTGAGCATCAGTTTCCTCATTGGCAAAATGGGCATAATATTAGTGACTACATACGATGTTATAAGGCTTAAATGAAAATGTATGTAAAGCTCTTAGTATAATGCTTGATACATAGAAAGCACTCAATAAATGTCAGCATTATTCAGTCCTTCCTTCCTTCACTCTTTCAGCATATATTTATTGAAAAATACATCATTCTGCGAGGCATGGGATAAAATAACACTGTATCAAATAACTATGTCTTTGTTCAAGGTAGAAGACTTACAAACAGGTCTACTCAATAAACAAAATTCATTTTTAAATAGACCCCCATTATGTATTTCTATATTGAGGAATTTTATCATTTGTAGAACTAATATTGGGCCATTAAAATGAATAAAAATACTTGAACATTGATGAAATCCAAAGGAATGAATAATAACTAACATTATATAGCAAGAACTATTTAGAGCCCTGCATATATAGATTCATTCATTCTTCACAACAACCCAGTGAAGAAGGTACTGTAACTACTCCCAGTTTTATGGATTTAGAAAACAATAGCAACAAGTGAGCCTCTGAGAAGTTAAGTAACCTCTCCAAGGTCACACAGCTATTAGGTGGCAGACTGGGATTTAAAACCAGGGAACTGTGCCTTCAGGGCCTGCACTCTTAATCACTCTACGTTGCTAACAGTTGGGTTGATGTCTACTAGGAAACTTTCCAGAGACAGCATAAAGCACTTTTAAGATGAAAATTCCTGCCTCCTTTTTGCTCCCTGCCCCCTAGTTTGTCCTCTTTGCCTCTCTCTCCCACCAGATGTCCCCTATTGCCATGCTCTTCTCATGGACATATCTATATAGAACACATAACATACACTGCATGTTTATAAATATATTTTTATAATCTCTTTTTCTGAGAACAAAACAAAAAGGGCCTTATCCTGATTTATTTCAAAACTGCAAAGAAAAGAGTAGTTGAGACCAAAAATTTCACTATTAGTCAAGAACTGAAAATTCCTGTGTTATTCCCCTCATGCTGACAAGGGAACTTCCTTTTGTATAATTTCAAAATTTTAGTAGGCCAGGCTCCTCTGGATCTTAGCACTTCCATCTTCAGAGAGCATTACTTACGAAAATAAGAGGTGTTCTATAACCTAATTAATATTTTAACTGCTTTGAAAATAGTGTTCAACATTATTCCTATATACCTCAGAGTTATGAGGTTATCGTCTTGTAATGAAGCACAGAACACGGTACTCTAAGGAACTCTTTAGAAATTAATTGCTCGACACTAATGTCTGATACTGCAGTATTCTCTCTGGTATAAAATGAACATTCCTTATCAATGTATACTTATTCCTAATGCATGTTAAATGAATCAAGGACACCAATACTTTTTAGTGCTTAGAATCATGAAAAAAAAAACTCACATTCAGCAGGAGGGTTATGAAGGACTCACATGCAGCCCTGGCTATCTGAATAAATAAACGGAGTTCTCATTTTCTAAGGCCTGAACATTACTTACTTAACAAGACAACTAAGGGCTAGCAAGTGAGCAAGTAGCTAACTCCCCAGAACACATGGGAAACAAACTACTCCCGAGTGAAAAGATTCACTGCTATGACAATGGAAAAGTAGAGCTAGAGTTCTGGGCAGTGGGGGAGGGTTGAGGAAGCACAAACACAATATAATAAGAAAGGGGGGGAGGATTTTAAGGCACAGAAAAGATCATGAAAGCTTTGATTAAAATACACAGGAAAGTTCCAGCACACATTACCCTTTCCCTCCATTGTGCTCTAAATGAAACAACTGCCTCCACCTAAAAGAATGGGGATTCAGCTGTTTTTTCCACACCGCCTGTATCAGTTTCTTATCGCTGCTATAACAAATTACACAAATGTATTATCTTATAGTTCTGGAGGTCAGATGTCTAAAATGGGTTGGCAAGACTGCATTCCTTCAGGAGGCTCTAGGAAAGAAACGACCTCCTTGCCTCTCCAACTCCTAGAGCCCACGGCCCTGGTTCCCTTCCTCCATCTTCAAAGCACATCTCTCCAACCTCTGCCTCAGTCACCATGTCACCTTTTCTTACTCTGACCTTCCTGCCTCCTCGTCTCCCTTATAAGGACTCTTGTGATTATATTGGGTCCACCAGGGTCATCCAGGATAATCTTCCCATCTCAAGATCCTTAACTCAGTCACATCTATAAAGTTCCCTTTGCCATGAAAGGTGGCACATTCATAAGTTTTGGGGAATGGGACATAGATAACTTTGGAGAATTATTATTTTGCCTACTACCCCTTCCTAGGTGACTTTTAGCTATTTTCCATATTCTCCTTGGGGAAATTTTTATGTTAACTACAAGGGTACCATGACACTATCATTAAGAATAAGTGAAATGTAAAATTTAGTAAACAGTTCTTACCAGTTTCCAATGAAACGAGGGTCATTCTGGTCAAGGTGAACAGGATTTCTGGGATCAACATAAAAACCAATAAGAAGTCCACCTAATAAATATCCCACGGCAGGACCAAGAGCTCCCATGACATACATGATGGCTGAGAAAACAGAAGGGGAAATGTGAAATACAACGACATGTTCCTTAATTTTCAGTGGTTGTCCAATTTCATTCATACCATGCAGAAGCCACAGTTTAATCCAGTTAACAACTTCCAAAAAAAGAGTGAAAAGATTCACTCTTTAGAGAACTTAAGATTGTGTCTATGTTGACATTTCAGTTTCAAATCATGTCCTTTATTTAACTGTTGCCTGTTGTTCTCTTAGAGCATCAAAATCATCTGGAGAACTTCCTGGTTGGTTTTGTTTCATTTTTTAAATATAAGTGCTCAGGACCTACTCCAGACCCACCTGATTTAAATTTCTGCAAGTACAGGCCTGGGTGGTTAATGAGACAGTCACTAGATAACCAAGAGAAGATAAAAGATAGTCTCAACAATAAGAAAAGGGGGAAAAGTAGATGTCACTTGTCATAGCTAGAAGGTCCTAACAGGTTAAGGGAACTCAAGGCCAGACTTTGCCATGAAAATGGATTCAGTTGAATTGGCAAAGCTTCTTAAGCACCCTCAAATCACTAATATTTTCAAATCACCACTTTAGAATCAAAGATCTCACAATGAGTTGGGTTTACTGTTAATTGAGAAATCTTACTTAAAGATTAATAATCTCCTTAAATGGTATGAGTGAGAACCCAAATGGAAAGCACGAACTCACAGTTGAATTAGAAAAAAAATTTTTTTAAAGAGAGAGAACTCATAGACATGGATAGTGTGGTGATGGCGGGGGCGGAGGGGGGGCTGTGCTGGAAGAGGGCATAGTGGGAATAAATGGTGATAGAACAAATAAAATAAAAATAAAAATAAAATAAAATATTTTTTTAAATATGTTTTCATTGATTTCAGAGAGAGGAAGGGAGAGAGATAGAAACATCATTGATGAGAGTCATTGATCGGCTGCCTCCTGCACATCCCCTACTGGGGATTAAGCCAGAAACTGGGGCATGTGCCCTGACCAAGAATCAAACCGTGATTTCCAGGTTCATGGGCCAATGCTCAACTGCTGAGCCACATTGGCTGGACAAATTCACTGTCATTTCTTTATAGCATTTTCATGCTGTAATTAAAAATTTTTAAGGAAGTACTATTTCCCCAATTTTTAAATTTTGAGGTAGGACATGAAATTCCTTAAAAGTCACAGAAAAATCTAGCCACACTCTAAACCCAGTGTTTGTCCTGAAGAAACTCAGTTACTTGGGGACAAATCATTAAACACTTTTGAAGAATGATAAACTCAGGCTCTACACATTTCTCATTTCTAGTGTCACCATGCATTTTAATCACTGAAGAAATGAGTGGTTTGTCATACCCTTTCAACAAAACTGTTTTACCAGAAAGCAGGGAACAATCAGAATAGCTGCACCTTTCTCTCTCATCTGCACCTGAATAAACTTCGAATAATCCTGTCCCTTCTGTTACTTATAGCTACAGACAGTAATTTAACACCTGCTCTCGCTTTTCACACAATTCAGTAGAGAAAGCACAGCATTTATTTATTTTACAGAATCTGCTTGTAACAATAAGACATTAGGTTCTTGGACTTCATCTGTGCTTGGAAATGCAGAGTGGGGGAGGCACAGACTTAAATGACTGGTATTCTTTTGGAAGCATGCTTTTCATAAAGTAAAATTAGAGTTCTGATAAATATCTTGTTAACCTCCCCATTTATAGCCTCAAGCGGAACTCAAGAATAGAAAGGACTTTTCTAGTCCCCGGTATTTCCGTATGCATGTGAAGATAAAACTTATGTTTACACCTCCAGGCAAACCAGCACCATGTACAATTTAAAACTGTGATGAGGCCAAAATGTGACTTGAATCATCTTCCCAAAATAGTTCCTCTGGCATGAAAGAGACTGTCTTACAAACACAGATGAGAAAAGAGGTATTTCTGCCAAACTGTTTATGCCTGGGGTTACTGAGAGCAGCGTCTCCAAGCGCCAAGCTCGGATGTGCTGGCGAGACCCACAGTTATCCAGTGACGCGGGGGCCACGACACCTTAACTACGTCATGAGATGCGGATGGCACTTCTTAAAATTCAGCTGTGTAATCAGAAAAAAATTATCTTCATTATAAATCCAACAGAATCATTCTCATTAACGAAATAAACATATACATATGTGTATGTATATAACTATACTGTATGCTGTATATATATACTGTATACAGCATATAGTATAGTAACTATAATATACAACTATATGTTTATCTGTGTGCTATTTATATATATGTATATCTATATAACTATACTATATGCTATACTATATATATACTGTATGTGCTATACAATAAATAGTATAGTAACTATTCTATATATAACTATATGTTATATGTATGTTATATACATACATGTATGTCTATATAACTATACTATATGCTATACTACATATCGTATATTTCCTTCCGTTACCTCTCCCCAAGCTGTTTGACCTTCAGATCTCCATTTTCTTCTTAAATTACTTTATACTTCATTTTTGTGACCATTTATGCTTTTTACATTAAAGCACATTAACTTCTATTTTTAATCCCTTTCGCCTTCACATTTTAACATCCTCCTGCAGACTTAACTTTTATTATGATCCGATACCTCTTTTACTTTAACACCATTAGCTGCTTTACATTTTGATCTTACTTTATGTTTTGATGCATTTTATCTTCTTAAATCGTTTTTCATAGGGGTTTTCATTTTTAAAATTGACCGTCAAGGGTTTTTTTAATTATATTTTGTCACCTTATTTCTCATACTTTAAGTTAGTTTGCTTATTTTTTTAGCTCTTGTTATATGAGGCTAACTTTTCTATTTTTATAAACTTCCATGATTTGAAACTTTACATCTTGGTTACACTCCTGAATTTTACTATATTTTGGATGTTTAGCAGTTTCTCCTTCCTTTCTCAGCCTTCTGACAATATCTTCTTTAGACAAACTTTATCTTAGTCTTCTCTTACGTTTTGCTGTTTTGGATCGATTTGGGTCATAGCTCATTAGAAGCTGGGCCCAAGCTCCTATCCCCTCCCGGCCATGTCCCACTGCTTCTGTCCTTGGGCTCCGGCGGCCCCATGGCATCCAGCGGGTTAAGGACACCGGCCCGAGAGGCTGACACTTAATTCTCCCGGGTGGCGTCTCACTCTGCACATGGCGTGTTTGATCAGCTGGACCCTGCGAAGCTCTCTCACGTTATCCAGTAACGAGAACGTGTGGGTTCCAAATCCAAGGCCTCTGACGAATAAACTCTAAGACGAGCCACGGCCACAGAGCAAGACAGACCAGTCGGAGGGCTCTTTGTTCAGCTCCTGCCTGGCCTGGAGAGGGTCCTATGGGTTGACCTTCCCAATCCTACTGGAGAGAGAGGACACTCACCTGCACCCAGCCCACCCCTTGTCGAGCGGACACCTCCATTCCTGACAGAGCCCAAAGACGCCCCTCTTGCCTCATCACAAAGCCCATCTTGGTTGCACTGGGGATTATCCCAACCCGGATCATTCCGAGGGTCTGCTGCAACCCAGGGAACAGCTCTCTGAACTTTACAGCTCAAGCTGCCTCTCACTGACACAAAATGATTCAAGGACTCCGTGCTGATCGTGACCAGCCTGCCGGCCAGAGCCTCACCCAACCTGGGAAAGCGAGGGGCCGGCTCAAAACCAGCAGAGATCCCAGCGTCACATGGGCTACAATCACATCCTTCCTCCAGATCTCTGCTCCAGTGTCACTCCTCAGAGAGGCCATCGCTGGCCACATATCTACACACAGCACCCCACTCCCCACCCCATCACTCTTTGCCACCCGACCTTGCTGGAGTTTGCATATGACACACACATGCCCCCATATGACATATTTGTTTATTCACTTATTATCTGTCATTTCCATGAGAACAAGGACTATTTTTTCACTGATGCCATATCCGTGCCTAAGCAGTGCTGACCATACGCACTAATAACTATTGATGAGTGGTGAGGAGGCGAAGACATGGACTTCCAACCTTTAGTGGAGTAACAAAAGCGGTCAAAGTGAATTCATCCTTGCAACAGGGTCTCAAAGAGCCATCCACGGGCACCTGCTCCCTAGATCCCTGGGCTGCCCTGTCCTTGCGATCGCCTCCATACCATTCCCCATTAAGTCCTCGGTTTGGCAGAGCTGGTTTCTGTGCTTTAGCCACAGGGCCTCGACTCTTACCCCAACCCACTCCATGCCTGATTCTTACCTCTGCCAGGTTGTCCATGGGCCACCACCCTCCCCTCTAGGTTTCCAGAGTTCTCAGAGCTGGCCCAGTTCTCTTTGGAACTGGCCCAGATTTGCAGGATCCTCATTTGAACTTGGTCTCTAATTTATCAGACCCTGTTTCCATGTTGCTCCCACTCTTCGCTGCTCACTGTCCGCCGATTCCTCATGTCCCCTCTGGCTCAGACCCACATGGCACTGAGTGCTGCTGGGAACTGATGCTGACAGGAATAGGGGTCACATGTAAAATTTAGGCTCAGTTTCAGGATCTGGGATTACACCCAGGACGGTTGCACAGAGAGATGTTTCACGTATGTGTCTAAGGTCCTCAAATGACTATGAAACCCAGGCTGGGACAGGGAGAGCAGGTCGTCCTCTTGAATACATTTGGTGTCACATCCCCTGCAGATGACAAGAGGACATGCAAAGCAACCCACACATCACTGCGATCTTACAGCAGCAGGGACACCAACTCCCACTCAACTTGCATAATTCCTTGAAAATTAGCCAAGGTACTTGAGAGCATCCCATTTAGAGAAATCTTCCCTCGCTCATTCTTTCCACTCATCAGCACAGACAGATAGGAGACCTTTGATCTCGGTTATTTTGAGCAGCAATTTTTTTTAAGTGATTCACTTATTTTGATACAGATCTGACAGCCAAAGGACAGCTGCCTCCACTCTATCACTTCACTAAAACATCCAGAGAGCATCTGAGGTCACAGATGAGACGGGAAAACGGTTTATGTAGGTTCAAAGTATTTTTTC